CTCTCTCTCTCTCTCTCCCTACCTACTGTATTTCTCTCCTTCTCTATCCCTCTATCTACCTACTTAATTTTTTTAAAAATTTGCCTCTTCAAAACCTTGGTACGTCTTATACTCTGGTGCGTCTTATATTCCGAAAAATAAGGTAACTCGCTATGCTATATATGAAATCCACATTCATATATTTGATACATATATAGGTAGTCCTTGACTTATGGGGACAATTGAGTCTAAAATTTCTGTTAAGTGAGTCAGCTGTTAAGTGAATTTTGCCCCATTTTAGGACCTTTCTTATCACAATTGTTAAGTGAATCACTGCAGTAGTTAAATTGGTAACACAGTTGTTAAGTGAATCTGCCTTTGTCATTGACTTGGCTTATGAGAAGGTTAGAAAAGGATATGATATCTCGGACATTGCAATTGTTATAAATAGGAGTCAGTTGCCAACCATCTGAATTTTGATCATGTGACCATGGCAATGTTGACATAGTCATAAGTATGAAAAATTGTTATAAGTCACTTTTTTCAGTACTGTTGTAACTTCAAGTCACTAAACAAACTGTTATAAGTTGAAGGCTTCCTGTAGTTGCGTTCATATATAATCACTTGTGTTCATAAACTTTCTGTACTTAACTGTGTACTAAAAATAGATTTCAACCTTTTAAAAAAAATCTTGTACAGAAATGCAGTTCATTTTATAATATACTTAGCCTAGTTTTGTTCCGTTAGACCCAAAACTGCTTACATTTAATATTTTAGGCCTCTCAGAGAATATGTTTTATGTTATTAAAACAGTATACTTTCTTTAAAGGTGTGGATATTGAACTTATCAAGGAAAGTCAAATAAGAAATGTGCAAAAGTTAAAGAATTCAGAGCTAAAACTTATTGCTGCTAAGCAAAAAATGAATGAACTTACTCTTAATATCCGAATGAAAGAAGAACTCATTAAAGAATTGGTGAAAACGGGTAAATTTATTTTGTAACTTACACTTTGAATATAAATATATAAAAGAAAAGAACCAGGTTTTATATGAGATAATTATTGCTGCACAGTGAAAAACAATTTTTTAAAAGGCAGTGTAAAGTCAATGTACAGCATTTATCATTGGAACAATCCTCAGTTTGTGATTTTTTTCTAAAAAGTTACATTAAATTATGTTGAACCATTTATTTTAATTTTGTTGCCTAATCTACCACCTGGTTATTTTGAGAAAAAATATGTTTATGAGGAGCCATCTTTAATATCACTTGGACCAGTTTTTTAATTTTTTTGGTAATAAATATGTTAAATGGTTTTTAAAAATGATAACAATAGCTGCTACAATGCCAAAAGTCACAAATGAGATCTCCATTATTTAAAATTAATATTTTTTAAGGTAATGATGCTCGATCTGTAAGTCAGCAATATTCTCTGAAAATAACACAACTGGAACATGAAGCAGAGCAGGCTAAAATTGATTTAGCAGAAACACAAAAGCAACTTCAAGAACTGGGGAACAAGGAACTAAGGGACATTGCTGAAAAAGCCAGATTACAGAAAGAATTCAGAAAAAAAATGGATGCAGCAAAACTGAAAGTTCAGGTATTTGCAGTTGAGAAATTCATTAAAAACCTGTGCATAATCTGTAAAAAATACAAGATAATATCTCACCTAGTCTCTCAACTAGAAAATATATACTTTATATCATCATAATTCATGAATCTTGCTAGGTTGGTGCGTGCGATATAGTAGAATAGATTTAATAGCCGTGGCAACAAAGGGACTTGGAACATAAACTGGAGATCAGAAATCTANGAATTGATGTAAACATTTAATAATACAATACAATGTTGGCTATGTAATAGTATACATGTGGTTATATGTTATGAAAATGAAAAAAATAAAAAACTTTATACACAAAAAAATAATTAAACAAGATAACAAATGTGCCAAAAGAAAATAATCACATTTTTATTTAGTAGCAATATACATAGCAATGTTTTGTTCATAAAACCTTCTTTCACTGTAAAAATGCTTACAATTACAGGTTATCCTCGACTTATGACCATAAGTGAGCCCAAAATTTCTGTTACTAAGCGAGACAGTTAAATGAGTTCTGCCCCATTTTACGAACTTTCTCATCACAGTTGTTAAGTGAATCTGGCTTTCCCATTGACTTTGTCAGTTGCCAATCATCTAAATTTTGATCTCAACGTTCATGGGGATGTTACAATGGTCATAAGTGTGAAAAATAGTCATAAGTAACATTTTTAGTGCTGTTGTAACTTCGAAGGGTCACTAAAGAAATGGTTGCAAGTCAAGGACTATCTGTAATACAGTTGTCATCTCAAGCTGTATTTTTCTTTAAATGCCTGCTTCAATTTTTACTTAGACGTTCCTTAAACCGTACATGGACACGGAAGCCGGCTTCTTCTAGCTATATAACTAAAGGAAAAGAGGTACAGCAAAATGCCATTTCAGAAATCGGAAATCTTTCATCAACAGAAGCTGTTACAGATAAAGAAGGTAAATTGATCTACCAGTTATTGGTCTACAACTATTATTGTGTCTTATGTAGTCCAAAGAATAAAATGGGAACGGGAATCTGGAAGTAAGGATTTGTATTCAAAGCAATGCATAATTAATTAATGAGGATGACATTTGTACTATAATATTAACATTAAATTTCATAAAATATACATATTTGCTCTTTAATACTTTAAATATTTATTTATTGAAATGCCTTTCAATTAAAATATTTTAAGCAAACAGGCTCTTAAAAAAAACCAGCAGTGCATTCAAATATGTAATGAATATAATATGTCAGTAAAACTTAAACAATATATTTTATTACACAGAGATTTAAACATGTAGCATTTTAAGTTGTAATCAATAAATATGGAAAATCATTATGAATGCTAGCAAATGAGAATTAACATATTATAGGTGATATTTTGATATTATACATAACTCCCTATTACTGCATGCTATTTTTGAATAATATATTAAAGTTTATCTGCATTGGCCAATGTACACACAATTAGTTTTCAAACTATACCTGGAAGCTTAAGTACCATAGTTTTAGGAGTATAAGACGCACCCTTTTCCCTCAAAAAAGAGGCTGAAAATCTGGGTGCGTCATATACACCGAATATAGCATTTTTGCCTCCCAAAGCCCCGCCCTTCACCAAAATGGCCGGACATAACCTTATGGAGGCTTTTAGAGAACTCCTGGGGGCTGGGGAGGGCAGAAATGAGTGAACAATGGGCAGTGCAATTTTTTTGACAAAAAATGTCCCTATTTTTTGCTCATTTTTGCCCCCTCACCCCCCAGGAGCACTCTGCAAGCCCCCCCCCCAAGGCTATTCCTGCCTTTAAAAAAAAACGGGCCCGTTTTTGCGAAAAACAGGCCGTTTTGGGGAGATTTGCAGAGTGTAAAAACTCCCCCCCCCCTTTGGAAAGCTCTTTAACTGATTGATGAGAATTACATTGATCAAGTGCTGTGCCAGCAGAAACATCTACCTATCTACTGTATTTCTCTCTCTCCCTCTCTTTCTCTCTCTCTCTTTCTCTCTCTCCCCCTTTATCTACCTACCTAACTACTCTCTCTCTCTCTCTCCCTACCTACTGTATTTCTCTCCTTCTCTATCCCTCTATCTACCTACTTAATTTTTTTAAAAAAA